TCTCCTCCAGCTGCAGGGCTGCTTTCGGACTCAGGGGAACTGATGATGGCCAGGGGGCCGTTGCCAGGTTCTGAATTCCTGCAGGTAGATTTTAACAAAGACAAACTGACATACAGAAACAAAAAATATAAAGAGACAGACACAAACTCAAAACCAGAAGCTGGTGCTCTCACCACCACTCTAGTGCAGAACTGAAAATACATAAAAACATAAAGACAGACATAGACTCAAAATCAGAAGCCGCATGGCAGTAGATCCAAAAATACAGATGGAGGATCACGCCTCTCCTGGAGATTAGGGTGACCTGGTCACCCTTCCCTCCAGTAAATGCCCATGAAACGTCTTTCAGGGCTAGGGCAAGGGATCTCAGGACACGTCTGCCTCCTCCCTTAGCCCCGTTTCAATACAGACCCTGCACAAGTACAAATTTTAAATTTCTTATTTATAATTACACAGAAACAGAAACATAATACATAAACAGACAGACATAAAAATGAGCTCATTTCTTTATACCTCCAACTGGGTCTAGAGTGTGTCTGGGAGTGACTCGATTCCCGGTCAGGGAACCAAATGTTGGACTCTAGTGTCCAAACCGAGAAGGAGTCGCCCCCAGAGACCATCTCATACATCACAGCCGATGCAATAGCATGAGGATTTTATTAATTTTGTCATGACAGGGTCCCTCAGCATTTGGGAAGCTGAGAGACCCCGACTAGCTGGTACAGTCTACTTTTAAAGGAGAAGGCCCCATAGAAACAAGACGGGTTGTTCCTTGACCATTATGATTGGCTTGTTCGAAAAGGGCTAATACCAATAATTGACTGGAGAACTATTGTCAGATCAGATGAGGTAAGAGGTCATTTTGACCCCGTTTCCCAGGGGACTGAGTCAAAACATACGTATGTGGGTAATTGTTCAGGAACTGAGTATGTGCATGTGTTGCTGTTAGGTCCTTGGTTCCCAGGGGAGGAGGGGAAGCACTGAGGCACAGAGGCTGAGAGGGTTTGGAATTGTCAGAAATGGCTTCAGAATTGTCTAAAATCTTACACTCTCAAGGATATGTTGAACAAACAGGCTGAGTACAGCTGTAGATCAGTCTAAAGATTTTGGTTTTGGTTTGGTTTGGTTTTGGTTTGTTTGTTTGCTTTTTTTTTTTTTTTTTGGTTTTTCGAGACAGTTTCTCTGTGGCTTTGGAGCCTGTCCTGGTACTTGCTCTCGTAGACCAGGCTGGCCTTGAATTCACAGAGATCTGCCTGCCTCTGCCTCCCGAGTGCTGGGATTAAAGGTGTGCGCCACCACTGCCTAGCCAGTCTAAAGTCTTAAGCAACCTCAAAGTTTACTATTAACTCTGGCTGTGAGGTCCAGCAAAAGTTCCAGTCTCTCAGAATGTAAGAGATATTTTTATCATAATGCATTGCCAAAGGACACTTTACCAGTGCTTACACTGCTGGAAAAAATATTATCTGCCTTCAGATCTTCAGAGAGGGGTGGGCCCCATGAACCCTTCCTCCTTCTATGACAGGGTGTTGATGAGCACAAACTTATGGGGATCCTGTGCAAGTAATAATAGCTGCTGTGAGTTCCGAGGGTGCAACTGCCTCCCATGTCCTGCCAGGAAGTCAATGTCTCACACTATTGCCCCGTCCCTTCTACTCTTGCATTCTTTCCGTCTATCCCTTCATAATGTTCCCTGGGCTTTGGAGAGTATGCTATAGATGTCCCATTTAGGGATGAGTACTCAAAAGTCATTTATTCTAAGTACCAGTTATGAGTATCTGTAGTCACTGCTGACCCCTGCACAAAGAAGCTTGACTGACCAGAGTTGACAGCCACTCTATTCTATGGACATGAATGTGGTTACTTAACACCGCAAGTTTGACAGACACATTATGTCCATTTAGCAAAACAACAGCAGTAACTTCCACAATAGAATCCAAGACCTTTACAACAAGGGGCTTTTATTGAGACAAGGTTTCACTATATACCTTTACCTGGCCTGAACGTGAATGTGGCCTTAAACTCAGAGATCCAACTGCCTTTACCCTGGGGGTGCACCACTACGCCTTGCTAGCAAGGAGCTTTTGACTAGTTTTACAGGATCAGATTACGTTTTCTCCTGTGGCGTGGACATCAAATCTATCCTTTCAAAATATTTAGTGAGACAGCTGACATTTACTTTGTTCTAATAAGTTTGTGAATCTGGATGTGCATATTGCATCTATGGCATGTACCAGGCACCACTGAGGCTATAAATTCACTGCCTCAGTTTCCTTGTGTTCTAAAAAAATTAGGGAACAGAAACTGGTAAAAATAAAAAGGGTTTAAAAAGAAAAGAAAAAGAAAAAAAGGATTATTTATAGTTTGGCAAAATGAGAGAAAGATGTTTAGTTTCTCTGTCTTTTCTCTGTCAATGTTACAGTTCTATAGAAAAGATGAAACAAAGATCAGTTTGTGTTAATTTAGCTGTGAGATTGGTTACCTGATTCTTTGATGGGGAAAAGGATACCCAGGTTGTTTCATTTCTCTGTTACAGATACACTTTTTCAATTTTTTTAAAACTTCATTTTCTTTATTATTGGTGTGTGTGTGTGTATGTTTGTAAGATATGTGCATTTTGGTTTGCACATATCATGGAGCACATGTGGACACAAGAGGACAACTTTGTGGAGTTGATTCTCTCCTTCTTCTTTACATGAGTCGAGGTAGTCAAACTCAAGTCCTCAGGCTTGAGTGGCAAGTGTCTTTACTTACTAAACCATCCCACACAACCCATAATTTTTATTTGAACCTCCGTCTGATGTAGTAAATTAACACATTTTTCAAATACGATGCTGGGTCCATCAGGTAGACAGATCACAGCAAACTGGGGAAAACTCTGATAGAAGCCTCAAATACTTGATGGCATTTCTAGCTTTTGGATTGGTAGAAATTAGTGGTCTGTTAAGTTTATGCATTCCCCAAAGTTTTCATGTGCTAGCCACAGAGACATTAGGTCACACAAAGAGGAAAATGGCTGCCTAGGGAGCCAAAATAACCCAAGATAATTTGTGAGCAGGCCCTGGACCTACATTATAACCCCTCTACAATCTCTGAAATTCTTGTCATCCTTTGCAGAACAAACAGGTTTGTCTTCTTTCTAGGACTGTTTATCCACATTGCATATAGCACCACAATGCTCAGTAAAATTGAGGACTTCGAGCTTATCTCTTTGTAGGAAATACCACTTTTTCTTCAAACCAGGGTCTCATTATGTAGCCCAGACTGTCCTAAAACTCCTTACTGGCCTCAAGCTGTCCAAGCTGGCCCTGGCCTCAAATCTGTGACAATTATCCTGATTCAGTATCACAAGCACTGGAATTAAATTAAATTAAACCACCACACAAACCTCTATTTTTTCAGTGCTTACAGTGGAATTCAGCTGGGTTTTTTTTTATTTTATTTTTTGGTTTTGCAAGCAGGGTTACTCTGTAGCTTTGGAGCCAGTCCTGGAACCAGCTCTTGTAGACCAGGCTGGCCTCGAACTAACAGAGATCCGCCTGCCTCTGCTTCCTGAGTGCTGGGATTAAAGGCGTGTGCCACCGCCACCCAGCTGGGGTTTTAGGCATGCTAGGCAAGTGCTTTACCACTGAGCTACCTCCCTACTTCTGTAAATGACACATATAGAGCAAATCCTTTTGTCTTTTCTTTGAGGTCTGCTTCAAACTTACACTCCTGTATGACTCTTAAACACACTAATTTTCCAAGTGATAAAACATAATAGTGGACAGCAAAAGGGAGAAACACAAATGTCTCTTTTTTAAAATCTCCTCTAAAGGGCATAGAGAGATTGCTAGGCAGTTTTTTACTTGTTGTGCAATAATCTTTTCTTTTCTTTTCTTTTCTTTTTCTTTTTCTTTTTTTTTTTTTTTTGGTTTTTCAAGACAGGGTTTCTCTGTAGCTTTGGGGCCTGTCCTGGAACTAGCTCTTTTAGCTCAGGCTGGTCTCAAACTCACAGAGATCTCCCTACCTCTGCCTCCCGAGTGCTGGGATTAAAGGCATGGGCCACCACCACCCGGCCAGGAATAATTTTTTTATACACTGTGAAGATGTATCTTTGCCAAAGTGTCTTCTGATTGGTTTAGTAAAAAGTTAGATGGCCAATTGCTAGGCAGGAACTATAGGCAGGAATTAACAGACTCAAAGAGGACTCTGGGAAGAAGAAGAAAGACAGAAAAGTCAGCGAGACTTGGATAGTGTCAAACACACATAACGAGATAGAGATAAAAGCTATGTGGTAGAACATAAATTAATAAAACTATGGGTTAATTTAAGTTATAAGAGCTAGTTAGGAACAAGCCTAAGCCACAGGCTGGGCTTTTTTAATTAATAAGAAGTCTCCATGTCATTATTTGGGAGCTGGCTTCTGGGGACAGAAAAAGACTTGATACAATTGTTCTTTCAGAGGACCCGTGTTCTGTTTCCAGCACGCAAATGGTGGCTCAAAACCACCCATAACTTTAGGTCTAGGAGGTCTTATGGCCTATTCTGACCTTCACAGGCACCAACAGGCACTCAGTGCATAGCTACACATGCAGACAAAACACTCATACAAATAAATAAATCTTAAAAGATTTTTTAAAAAGAAATTCTCCAAGCTGGGCATAGTAACACACAACTTAATCCTAGCATTCAGGAGGCAGATTTCTGTGATTTGAGGACAGCCTGGTCTATATAATGAGTTCCAGGACATCCACAGTTATATAGTAAGACTCTATTTAAAAAAAGACCCTAAGTCAGCTGAGGATCACTATTACAATCTGCAGGTATCTTAATGTTGGCAAGCTCTGAGGCCTGGACTGGTGCGGGAGAATTATCTGTATTCTGTCAATCATGTATTTTAATAAAACGCTGATTGGCCAGGCAGGCAGTATAGGCGGGAAAGCCAGACAGGAAGTAGAAGTGGAGCAAAGAGACTGGGAGTATTCTGGAAGCAGAGCTCCCTCAGCCATTCCTGTCCAGACCACCGAAGAGGCAACATGTAAGCTGTCACACTGAGAAAGGTACTGAGCCCATGTGGCTAAAATAGATAAGGATAATGGGGTAATATATGTTATAAGAGCTAATAAGTAGCCTGACCAAATGGGCCAATCAGTTTATAACCTTATGGAGTCCTGTGTGTAATTTCTCTTTGGGATTTGCCGGCTGTTGGGGTACCGGGC